TCCTAACCTGCTCAGTCACTTATTAGCTACATGATCTGAGCTGTAAGTTCATTAACTTCTTCATGCCTCAGTTTCCCTCATCCGTAAAATAGTGATACTATCACCATGCAGTCACTGTAAGTCAATGGCTTAGTAGGAAAGTTGCACCTCACATCCCTTGACTATTAGTGTTTCCTTAGCTGTAAGCATTAGGGTGTGTAGACAGGTTGAATGCTCTTAAGGTGGGAAGAGCAGAGGAAGGTGGTATAAGGAGAGGGGTGGGCAGGGGAGGGGAGGAGAGGGAAGGGAAGGTTTCCTGGACCCTATGGCACCCAACCTGGATCTTAAAGCACAAGAACTGAGAAACAAGGGTACACATTCCAGATAAGGGGGCTGCAGAGTCACAGGTGGGCATGCTCAAATCAAGAAGGAAAATAAGCTTCTCAAAGCTGAGGGTGTATTTGGTGATCTCAGATTTATTGGAGGGTTGGAGAGAGTACTTTTGTACACTTGTTGCCATGCTCCTACGATTTAGTTTTTAACTTATTTTTAGATATGTGTACTATGAACACATACTCTGAAATGCTCAGTTCTCTATTCCTGAAACAGTGGAAAGGATGCGAGAAAGTAAACAAGGTAAACTTCTTGTGCTACAGAGATAAGCTGCTAGAGTGGAATATAGACCAAAATCTAACTGTATCTCATCTTTATCTGCCCCTCTTTCAGGATACTAAGTGGTAGCTTGGAGGAAGGTGTGGGGGCACTTCAGATCTACCCTTCAATTTCAATCTATCAGCTACTCTAAGCACAATCATCAAAAAGACAGTAGAGTATGCTTGTTAAGTGAATGTAATTTCAGGGATTTATCTTCCACCTCATTTGGCCCCGCCAACCAGATGTTATCCCCAGCCACATACAAAACCTGCCCTCATTTCTTAAATAGCACCTGTGCTATTTCTTAAAAAGAGCCTCTGTACTGAGTGCTCTGGGAAACCACAAAGAACTGATGCTGTGAGTGTTTAAGATGTATATATTCACTGAGAAAATTTCCTCCATAACTAAGTTAGAAGTTGTAATGCCAAGATAGGTGACAGTAGCCATTCCTTCTGCAAACAAGAAAAAAATCCTAAAATAGAAGAATTTTCTTTTCTACTGGTACTTCCTTTAGAGATAAAAAAGTTGCTAAATTGGCAAATTCACTTTGTTTTGTACAATATAAGGATAGATTTAACACTTGGAAATACTAGCAGCATGATAAGAAGTCAGGGAGGGCCCACAGAAGTTACAAGGGCGCGATTATTTCCTGAAACAAACACCTCAGGCTCTCAGTGGTACCAGCTTTATTGGAAAAGCTTGTTTCCTCTGATCCAACAGCTGTAACTTTTTAAGTGATTTCACAGAAGACCTCAAGATTCTCAAGTCAAAGCCATTCTTCATACCCCCTCCAAAATATTTACAAAATGAAACACTTTCCCTCTACAAACTATGTTTTATTTGTAAACACCTTGTTTGTCCTGATGGCCACAGCACCAACATTAAAAGCAGCCTTTGAAAGAAAGTAGCTCAAATAAAACCACACACAGACACACACATTCTTAACGCCCAGAGCGTATCCACAAAGCAAGAAAACCAGGATTCAAATTCCTTCTCACCTACTCACTGAGCTCCTGCAAGCACCGCACCCTCTTACTATCACACCTCCTCACTAACTTGTACTTCGGAAAACTCCCAGAATTTGATTACTGGATAACAAGAAATACTGGGCACAAGTCCCCCACCCAGCCTCAGGCAACTGGTCCTGTTTACAGCACAACTCCATCCAGAAGGGTGAGTGATTGTTCAGTTTTTCTACCCAAATGCCTCAGAGCTACTGGTGGCTTGATAAAAGCTGCTCAGTAACTTTGCCTTGGTCTCCTTATTATCCTCTCATACACCTACTGGGAAAACATTGTGGGCCAAGGACAGTACAAAGGCCAGAGATCTAGAAATGCCTGGTTTGGAGTAATATGAATTGGGGGCAAGTTCTGTGTGCATGAATGTATTCCAAAATATAATAATTATGAAAATCATCTATTTCAAGTATATGGAAGGTCTTTACACTTCAAGTCACATGCATTACAGGAGTTTGGTTTATGCTGAGCTACAAATGCATGCTAGTAAACAAAGAGGAATTATTAAAACTGTAACAGAATTATCAGCAGACAGAATACAGGCAGATCTTGGATTTCCAATCATGGCTCTACAACCAACATTGATTCAACAAATATTTATTAGATACCTATAAATGGTCAAATACCGTTTTAAATGCTGAAGAAATGGGGTGGACAAGATAAAGATTTTGCTCTCAAAGATCTTAGAGGAATGGGAAAAACCCATACACACTGGAATTGATGTCGGAATTATGAGGCAAGAAGTAAACAGATAAATGTGATTTCGGTCTAATGATGTTATAGGACAAAAATACTGATTGACAACTTCTGATTCTGCTTCCCTGTGGAGATATAACCACCTGCTTAAAACAAGATAATGAATGTCAACCAGCTAGCATACATACAGCATCCCCACGCACTTACCTGCGTATGACTGAAAGCATAATGGTTCTTACATACACTTTCCCCCCTTCACTGTACTATCTGCCATAATCCAACTTGGTATGACATGAAGACAGAAAGAAAACAAAATATTTGTGTAATTCAATTACACTTAATACAATTAGGTTACAAATAGCTGCCTCCCACCAAGAATTTATTAAAAAGCAAAACCTAAACAATTCCAGATAATAAGAAAATAGTAGCAACAGAAAACAGTATAGGAAATTGTAGTATGTCTGCCTTGCCCACTTGGAAAGACTGCCATGAAGAGTCAGCTCTTTTGCCATAAAAGTGAGGCTCAGAGCTATAGTGTCAGACGCTGGGTTTAAATTCTCATCTTCAGATTCCTTTGAGAAAAGTAAAAGACAGTGGCTAAGTCCTTCTCACAGTCAGAAGAGTTTACACCAAGAATGAACTTTAGGAAATCTTCTATACCTCTTTCCCCATATTCGTAAAGACAGAGGTCCCCAGAAGTAAAGGGTTAATCCCAGAGCGGGGGTAACCAACCAGGAATGACAGAGCCAGGGTGAGGCAGGCTGGCAGATGCCAGTCCTGTGTGCTTCGCTCTCAAGGACCTGCATGGAGGCAGACTTGGATTTTCTGAGAACCAAAGGAGAAGGTGCTGACATCCAGAATTCAATTTCAGGTATTAATTGTTCTTAATAACTGTCTGAGACACCTGCACCAAAGGTAAACTGAGAACCTTTACAGTTGACCAGGATGCTCCCTTCTGGCAGGATAGAGAACAATGCCCTATTAGGAAAATGATGCAGGCATCAATAAAGAGCCTGATACGGGAAAAGAGATTTTTCTAATGGAAAAGAGATCTTCCAATTGTAATTTTCAGAGTTTGCGTCAGGATAAAGGCTCCAAACCATTATTCCTGAAAAGGAAGGTGGAGGCGAGGTGTGGGCACGTGCACGCAAGAGGGAAAGGAGTCGAAGGACCTTCAGGCTGTTTACAAGGGAAGGGAGGAAGCCCCGAGGCTGCGAAACCGGTGAGGAGCAGTGAGCAGCTGGGCCCAAGGCGAGCATTTGACCACACCCACTGGCCACGCCCTCCCAGCTGCCCGCAGAGCCACGCGAATTGAAACGCAGTCAGGATTCCGACGGCAGGAGTCGCCATGGCAACGAGATTCATCGAGCTGACAAACTCGCTTCAATTCACTAGGTCTTTCTCCCGGCTGAAGAAACTACCAGCTCCATGGGAGCAAAACAGGCATGGGTGGCATTTACTCTGGATGGTCTCTCACGCGTGGAGACGGCGCGGGTTGGGGGAAAAATGGAGTGTAGGCACCTATTCCTGGGCCCACTAAAATATTTTGAGGACAAGGCAGAACATCCTAACCCTAGCCTGTGAGCAACTTGAGAACAGAACCATTAATCGGATTTGATGAGTGAGCGAGGGCAAGGAAATCCGGGGGACTTTATATAGTTCTCGTGCCTCCCGCACGCCTCCAGTGGGAGTGTAAGAGGCTCACAAGCTGTTGGGTTTTCGGCACCCGATACCCATCCCGCCTGCCCCACAGTGAACCTAATAACCATTCCATTATTCGCCGCCTCCCACCGCCGCACGGCCCCCCAGCCCAGGACTCCGGGGTAGACGCCTCGCCCGGCTCAGGTGCTCTTTATCTAAGGAGCAAGCTCCACGGGGGGCCCAAGAGGCACCCTCTTTGGAGGCACAGGAGATGGGCGCTCTCTGCGGCTGCCGGTCCGCTAGCGGCACAGCCCCCTGAGCCGCTGTCCGCCGACATCCCCAGCTCTCTCCGCAGCGTGGGGCTTTCCCCGTCGCTCTTCTCCGAGACATTGAGCTTCCCACTTCGCCAGAATTGCAGTCACCCCGTCCCTTTCAAAATGAGGCTTGAAGTGAGGTGCCTGGGACGATAGGGCTTTGGCTCGGACGCGGACGGGTAAACGAGCCCCTCCTTTCCCATCACTACCTCCGAGTCCACCAAGCCTCGCCGGGATTCTCCCTCTTGGAGCCCCCCAGCCAGCACCTCCCGACAACGGCAGTGCCCGCAGCCCCCAGCCGCAGCCACGACCCCCTGCGACCGCAGCCCAGGTGCCTGCAGCGAGGCGGCGAGTGGCCCCGGGCAGGCTCTCCAGGCATCCGAACGCCTTGGAAAGAAAGGAGGGAGGACCCCCGTCCTTGGGGGCGCCTTCCGCAGGGCTCGCCTGGCTGTACGCCGCACTTGCAGCCATTTTCCCAAACCCAGCTTGGCAGCTGGGAGCTGTCTAGGTCCCGTTCCCACCCAGACCTAACCTGAAGGACGAGTTTAATATTTACCCACTGGCCCGGGAGCCCGGGGAAGCAGTGAGAGGCGCGCGCGGCAAACCCAGGACGCGGCCGGGAAACGTGCCCACCCCCGCGCCACCGTGCGGTGCCACTTAATGAATGAGTGCGGCGGGCAAGGCGGCACGTCCCCCTTACCTGAGCAGCCCCTGCATGCTGGAAAGGCGGCTCTGCGCTCCGGGTACAATGGGATCCGGTTAAACAGTTTCCTTCACAGTCGCTAGTAGGTTACAATTCACAGGTGACATCACTCGCTCCGCGCCTGATAGGATACAAAGTGGTACCCATTGCGCATGGACGCGTTCCGGGGCCCACAGACTTCTGGGAGTTGTAGTCTTAGCCTCACCAGGAGAGCCGGAAGAGTTACGGGGCTGGGATTCACAGAACTACATTTCCCAATGGACTCCTCGACCCTTCGTCCCGGCCCCCTCGTCCCGCCCCCTCCGGGACCCGCCTCCTCGCCGCCCTCCTGCCTGGCTGGGTTAGTGGTGGTGGATCTGAAGCCTCGCTGCGGACCGCGCGGGTGAGGGAGGGAGCCACCCTGCGGGGCTTGCCCTTTGACTTGACCTCCGCTCCGCTCCTGACGGGCTCCGGGGGCCCGAGAGGTCCGGGCTTGGTGGGCACACCCGCCAGGCAGCTCTGATCAACCGGGCTCTGTTGGCCCCAGCTGAAAAGCGAAAATTAAACCTTTCACTGCGTTCTCTACGCAGAGCAACTAATTAATAGGGCACTGGTTCCCGAGTTAAATGCGGTCCTGGAATTCCCCACGTCCCCTAGGGTGAGACAGCGCCGGCCCCCAAGGAGAGAAATCCCTGAGCCCTAGCTTGGTACAATTCACCTTTCTGTCTTGTCTTCCCTTCTCCCCCATGTAACTGAATCCGAGTGACCAACCAGAATGCGAGGGAACAGCTTAGTTGTCTGAACTGACAGGATTCCGGAGGCTGTCACTAATAAAAATGAAGTGTAAGAGACCAGGCAGTTGCTGCAACCCTCCGTCAGGGAGCCTGCCGCCGCTGCAGAGATAATACTGTCGCGCAGCCATGCTTTTGTTCTTCCCCGCGGCGGACTCCACGCACTGCAGGCTCTCAACTCCCAGGAAGACAGCATCCTCGTGTAAAGTTTTAATAAATGCCATACATATCTATTAATGTGCTCTCAAATCCACAACGCTCTTCCTCGTATTCCATCCCTTTCTTTTCAAATATTTTTAAATTACCTAAACCAAACATCAGAATCGTCATACCTTAACACATCTAAATGTTTATTTAAAGCAAAAAGATATGTAGCAGAATTCTGACCCTTTAGGAAGATTTTATTTTTAATATGTAAGATCTTTCAATGGGATTTTTATTAACCAATGAATACAGAATATAAAAAATTAGCCCTAAAGAAATTTCCAGGTGTCTTTTTAAATGAAAAAAAAATGCATTGAGTAATTCAGGTGTAAAGGTAAATTTATAATGACATTTGATATGCCTCAAATCACAATCAGCTCACACCCCTAGTTCAGCTTGCAAAATGTCTTGGACTATATCTTATGAAAAGAAGTTCACAATTAAGATTTCAACAACTCTCCACCTAATTGTTGGTGGGAGTCTTCTTATATTCATATTCTCAATTCATTGTGCAACACTCTCTTGGGATCAATTGAAAAATATTCGTGAAACTAATTGAGAATCCCAGGGGAGAATGAAGTGCTTTGTTTTGCTGAGAGAGGGTTTTTTTGGTATTTTTAAAAAGATTTTATTTATTTTTGCAAAGAAGAACTGGGGTGTAGGCCAGTGGAGGGGTGGGGGGTTGAGAAGGTTTACCAGAGACAGAGTGGGGAGCAGAGCAGGTGGATTTACTGAAATACACTACTAAGGGAAGCAGTGGGTGAGACAGGAGAGGTCTGCTGTGCCATAAGTGGGTTAGCTCCCTGGCCAGATCCAACTAGGACCTCAGGCCATAGGGTTGATAGCACTGAGACTTAATCCCTAGGACCCCAGGGAGGCCCTGAGAGAGAGGTTTTAATGCTGAATTCTGATTTTCTTTTAACAAGCCTAATCCTTATAGGACAGACACATTTTTCTACACTGAAAGAAGATAACTTTGAATGTTACTCTCATATTCTGAGGTATTCCATCCATTTCAAATATTGTCTTAAATGGAACCCAGACAATACAAATGTTCCCTTGGCCATCAGATTAAGAGTACAGTCAGTGATATTCTAGCTAATGGGTAGGCTTAATGTATTGCAGTTCATTGTGGAAAAATATTCGAAAAGAAACTTGACCTGGGATGATTCTAAAGGCTCTCCCAGTTTTCTAACTGTGAAAAGCTTTTAGATGGAAATATAATCAGTGAGACTGAAATTTATTGAGTCAATAAATTGGATGTGGAGACTTTCTATAAGGCAGTGCTATTTTTATAGATAAAAACAATGTTATTGGGGATATAGTCTGAGACTTTACAGGGAAAATTACCTTACAGCAAGTTCTCTTGGGTCCTCACTAATGAAGGACAGAAGGGAATCTGCCTGAAGAAAAAAATTCCATTCTCTATAATATTATAGGGATGTGCCATGTTATATAGTTAATTTCCATGTATAAAGGACATCATATGCAATAGCTTATAAACGTGAAACATGTGGATGTGCACATGTGTACTATCCTTCCTAGTAAATATAGACAGTAAGTACAGAAAATAGCCATTGTGTTTGGAAGCATTTTCTCTAAGTGGTGATGGATTTGAACTGATCCCTGCACACTGTTTCATCGGTAACCAGGGGAAACAAAGATGGCTCTTCAGCATCAGAAATGCAATCTGTGAACCTGGGACCAGAAGAGATTTTTTTCTAGGTGACTAAGTAGGCTCATAAGCCATCAAAAACACCCACTCTCACTAGCTTAATTTATATTCTTAAAAGGTTTCTTTACCTTTTTTTTCTTCCTATGTTTTAAATGACTGCTGCTGTTCTCAAGTGATCTTATAAAAGGTTCTGTCATGTCCCATAATCATTGCCTATTCATTAGAAACCTGTGGGACCACTGAGCATACATTTAATTGACCACCTACAGGTAGAAAGGAGGGAGGGAAGCATTAGGGGGTATGTTGCTGATCTTTCAAAATAACCTTTCTCAATTCTGGTTACAAGGTTTCACTCTAGCTGTTGGGTTTTGGATAAGGGAGGAAATGAGATATCAACAGAAAAGGAATTGTAAGTTTGTAACCTTGTGTGTGTTTTCACACAATAGCTTGGTGTTTAGTAACAATTGGGGCTGTGTGTTGAGCCCAGTTTAGGGATCATGCCCTTTTACCACTTTTGAACAATGTGACTTTACTTATCCTATGTTGCTTATTTAGTGTAAGCCTCAGTTTCCTTATTTTTAAAATGGGGCTAACAAGAAAATGACATCACAAGATTTTTGTTTGCAATTCCCCCTGAAGATTATCTCAGAAACGTGAGTCCTAATTACATAATAGAAACCTATTTAAACTTTAAAAATTCTTTTTCATAACAGCAAACTTAGAAATTATATAGTGTATACATATTATCTCACTAATTTTTAAGTAGGTAGAAAGCAGTTTGAAGAAAAACAATAAGTACAATTAGTTCTTGACTTGTTTTCAGATCTACTTCCGTCCTTCTGTAGTGCCCTAAGCTGTCCTTAGTGTCAAAGGCAGTCTTTCCCAAGCTTCTCCCTTGTGGAAGCCTTGCTAGGAGGTGGGAGGCAGGAGGAAGAAAGTAGCCAAGGCATTTCTTCACTCTACAAAGTTGATTCAGGTAATTTTCTAGTAAATTTCTAGTAATGGCAACTGTGTCCCAGCTTCCATAGGTCACCCAGCCACTGCTAATGCCACCTTCTCCCTATGTCCCTCTAGTCTAGAGGGGAGGCAGCTTCCTGCTGTTACTAAGCTCTCACCGCATGTTTGTCTTCTCAGAATGTCTGTCGCCCTTGTGATCATTTCCTTGTACTATATTCTGCCTTAAATATTTGAATGACTTGTTTTCATGGTGGACCATTTAACTCAGATCTTAGCTCAAGTTCTTTCAGGGGTAGGCAACAGAAACTTTCTATGGCCAGTGTCTGAAAAACAAAGAAAGTGATAGGATTTATTCAAAATATTAGACAACCAAAATCTTGAATACATTAAATACTAAATAGGGCTTATTCTAAAGATTAACCAACCAAGGCTGCACCTATGCACAGTATCCAGACTAGTTCTGGAAATGAAACAATAGTGGTTTGTACAACTTATTCTCAGAGTACAGCTCTAGTAGTTCCCAGTCTCTGTGTCCCTTTGCTCCAAATTTCAAATTCCCTAGAGAAGCTAGTTGCCCTATCTCAGGGTGACTACTACCCTCGATAGTAGTAGTGCCTAAAATGTGGAGCCCACGCCAGCAACATCAGAAATGTGTTAGACATGCAAATACTTGGGCCCCACCCACAGACCTACTGGAAAGGAAGCCTTAGGAATGGGGCCCACAATTTGTGTTTTAACAAGTCCTCCAGTTGATTCTGAAACATGTGAAAGTTTTCAAACCACTTATCTATGGCAAAGATTACAAGATTATGCAGCTCAGATATGATCACTTCCAACCTATCCTGTGTGTCTGGGAGACTTCCCAGGGAGTAAAAAGTGTTTGTGAACTTGGCAGCCACCCCAAAAGGTGTCAGGTAAAGCTGATAAATCTGTCAGGGTCTTAAGGTAAAATTTGGTTCTTCCTGAGGAAGTGGACTTTGTAACATGGTGAGCTAAGTAATCAATTTAGTCACTGCAAAAGCACTTGGAAAAGATCCATTTCATTATGTTTAATTGAGAACTCAGAAAAGCTGATAAACCAGTATTGGCGCAGAACAAGGAAGATGGAATCTTACAGAAATCTAAGAACAGTAACAATAATAAAGTCAGGCCGCAATAAGAAGGAATGTGAAAATAGTTTCAACCACTCAAAGCTCTCTCCGGCCATTCTCTTCAGAACAGCTCTAGGGAATTCAGAAACAGAAACTCTCTTTGCCTCTCTTAGCTATGGTCAGTATCAGCTATTCACCACTGGCTTACACTGCCCATTGGGGAGATCTGTACTGTTAAATTTTATAGCCACAGGCCCAGGTGATTGCTTTTTTAATTAATTAAAATGAAACAAAAGGAAGCCATAATTACCACTTTTCAAGCAACAAAACTGCATGAGGCCAGTGACTACCATACTGGACACTTCATATATATATTATATATAATATGTATAATAATATACATAATATATATAGCACT